AAAAAAAAAAAAAATTGAAATACTAATGGAGGGATCCAACATTTATTATTAAACAGATGTGGAGCAATAACAACAAAAAAATGAGTTTTTTCAATACAAGATCCAAAAGATGGGTAAATTATCAAATCGGGGCCTGAAAGATTTTTTCTCAATTTGGGACTTAAATGTTATAAAATTATCAAATTAAGTCCTAGAATTAACAAAATCCGAAAGAGTTTTTTTTAAAGACAATATTGGTGCTTACTCGCATAAAATAATAAGTAAACATTTGCATAATATTTTAAAATAAAATAAAAAACAGAAATAGATGATAGCAAGAAAACCGAGCAAGAGTTTCACACTTTCCTTAATTTTCTCCAACAATCTAGTATTTTCCTTAATTTTCTTCATTTTTTTTACTTTGTAACATATTTGGTGTTTTAAAACTTTAAATTAACTCTCAATTTAATTATGTTATGGGTTTTGTTAATTCTATGACTTAATTTGATAGTTTACTTATCTTTCAGTAATTGTATTGAAAAAACTCCCATAAAATAACACAAAAAGAGACATATTCCAAACTCTTGCAAACCCATATTTCTCAACTTTTTTGTTCTTTTTCTATGATATTACTATTTTGCTGGGAAAAATGTAAATACAACAAATATACATATATTTACTATGGAATGTTATATTCTTAAAAATTGATATAAATAAAATAAAACATTTAATAAAATGTAAGTATATATTTTTATTTATAAATTATATTGGTCGACTCTTTATAGTCATTGTTTGTAAACTATAAACAATATGATTAATGTTTGGTAGGTAGATATGCTAGCTTATATCTTATTTGGTTAGTTTATAAACTCTCTGTATTTAAATAAGTCTCGTTTGGTAGAACAATTTTTTTTGAAACGCTCGAGCGTATTTGATAAGTTTGTTTAGATAGATTTTCAAATAATCTAGTTGAATTTTTTTATTCCGACTAACGTATCAGCTAATTTTACCAAACACTACTTTTATCAAACATAGTCTAACAAATTTCAGGTTTGTTGCATTTACTGAATAATAAATTAATAATAATAATAAAAAAAAGTGGTCCCTTTTTCCATATTTGTCCTACCTTCATATTCCTTGCTTCTCAACAGCTTCTACTTCAACCCATTTCTTTTATTTATTATTTTCTCGAGTCCATTTAATTCAAACTGGCAAAACATCTGCTTTCGTCACTAGGGCCCTTCTGTGAAACGCCCCAATTGAAGTGTTCAAGTTTCTTTTCTTGCCTACACATTATTATTTGAGTACTTTATAAAGCTAGTTGCCT